TTTTGATCATGTGAAAAAAATTTTTTTTATTTCAAAAATTTTCAAAATGAATTTACATTATGCGCGCCATTTTTTTTTGAAACGCACTGTATATACCATAAATTAATCATGCATCTCCATTTGTCCTCCCTTTTTATTTAGTCTTCCCATTGCAATTGTCAATGATACAAGGAATGATAGGTACATAGTGATGATAAAATTTTCAGGTCGCCAGAAGGAAGTTGATAATAAATAATCATCATCAGGATTTGTCGCTAAACTTTAATAAGAGTATTTTAGAGGATGATGCCATTCAGAGACATATTTAGATGGAATTTTATCTCCTTTACCAACATCCAATATCTTTCGTGATTCAATTTCTATAATTTCCGCAATATCTTTGTCTATTTCTTTTGGTTATTAAATTATAAAAATATATTAGCCAATCGAGATTCTAATCATGGATTGGCAAAAACCCTGGCATTTGATGATGAACAAGTTAAGTACTTGAGTATTTTGAAACCTGGGAGTTTTGGAATTTGTTATTATTAATTTTTTCAAAGGTTTAGTATATCAATATCAATAAAAAATTTATTTTTCGTGCAATAATAAAATAATACAAATTTAATACCTTTAGAAATAAAATAAAAAATAAAATTGTATAATAAATAATTTAATTTATAAATAATAAATAAGTAACGCTTATTAAGTCTTTGTGAATGCTTTTTTTTCAAATAAGGAATAACTAAATTCTCACGCCTTATTTTATTTAAAAAAATGCGTCTTAATTATCTCTATGTCTTAACATATTGACAATTTGTTCCAATTCGACATGATGTTGATTAATCTTCATCCTATAGTCTTTAATAACTAACATGTGATGAGAAATGGCTGCAATTAAATGGTCATCGTTGTAGTTTCTAGAATTGAATGAAGAAACATTTAAATTTAAATCACGATTATTAAAACTGATACCATTGTTGATTGATGGTGAAGGTGATGTATTTGAGTTGCTATTAACATAAACTAATTGGCGATGTTGTTGTCGTTGCTGTTGTGGTGGTAAAGATTGCGCTGCCAGCATGCTATTGTTGCTGTTATCATTAGTAATGTTTTGAAATGACAATGAATTATCAAATGCAATAACTCCGTGATCAATATTTTGAGCTGGCTGAGTTTGTTGAAACGGTTGCTGACTTGGATTATTAATTTGTTGAATTTGTTGTCGCACTTGACCGAAATTTTGAATATGTTGCTGAAGATTTTGTTGCACGTGATGTTGAAGTTGTCGGTCATAATTTTGTTGTTGGGGTTGTTGACTGATATTTTGAATTGGTAGCTGAAGTTGTTGTTGTTGAAGGAGTTGCTGAACGTAATGTTCAAGCCCTCCATCATCATGATAATTTTGTTGCCGTTGGGATTGTTGAGGGTTTGGTTGAGATAATTGTTCATCAAAAGTCTGTTGTTGTTGAGACATTTTTGTTTATATATATGTATTTATGTATTTATGTAGTATTTTTTATTCAAAAAATGAAAAAAAAAATGAAAAAATTTGATAGATATCGAACTGCTAGCATTTTTATACGTATTTTTTTTAAATTTTTTTAATTGATCAATAATTATATATACTAAAAATAAAAAATGATAAACAATAAATATTCGTCCGAGATCAATAAATCATCGAAATTTTTAATGATAAGTTGTTGATTGGTGTGTAATGTTACACGCGGGCATTGCAGGCACACCGTAACAGGAAAGACCGTTCTGGGAACACAAAATTTTAACCCATGCCATTTGTTGGTTGACCAATTAAAATCACGAATTTGATAAACGTAGAAATAAATATTAATATGGGTTTGATTCATTTTGTCAACAATCACTTCACCAACAATTGTTTCATTAACGAATTTAAGAAGTTGGAAGAAATAGTCTAATAAATTAAATTGTACTACTCGAAAATGTATTTAAAGGGTTGGTTTTTGACTTGGTCGAAGAATAACTCTCTTCCTAACTCTTCTCTTGACCATATCTCTCGATATAATCGAAATAACCTTAATATAATGAATATCAATGAAATGATTGTAAACACAACAAATTTAAGATGCATGATTGTGACAAAAAATGAACAATGTATGAAAAATCAATCAAATTTATTTAATAAAACAAAATTTACAACCCAAAATTTTTCTTTGCATGTTCTAATAAAATTTCCATTGTTGATGTCATCTATTGCTGATTTAACATTGCACAGATCATCATCAACTGTATTTTTGTTATTTTCGATAAATTCATTTTCATTTAATATTTTTCATCATACTTTCTTTTAGTGTGTTGACATTTTTTTTGATTTCGACTTGAAGGTAGTCCAAGATATCAAACATTTAGATTGACACCTTTGTAGGCATGATTGTGATAAATGGGTACACTACAATTATTCAAATTAGTATAGTTGGTGTAATTACATTATACGTAATCGCAAAAAAATGTTTGTAGATGGTTTCCTAGAAGTAACAAAGTTTTAGTAATTAAAGGATACTGATTATCTCTGGACGTGAATCGTCAACATTCAACAAGAATGTATTTTTTGAATATTTTGTAAGTGCATTCTCTACATATTTCTCATGTTCATCTGCAACTTGCTTCTTTTTACGATCTACTGCTTTTGATGTTGTAGTTACTCCAAGACTTGTATCTACCGAGTCTAAATAGAATGCAAGTTCGAACTTAAAAGAGTTAATTTTTGTATTATTTAAAACAAGAAGAAGATGACATGAACACCACCATTAATCTCTTCATATGATCCATTACGTCCAAATGGCCGAGCTGCTAAATAGAGTTGACCAAAAAACCCCTTCAAGTTTGGTTCTATTTCTTAGAGCAATCTTTGTATTTCATCAAAATCGTATATAGGACCTTGATGTCTCTAGTGAAATCAATCTTTTCACTTACCTCTTCCTCTTCCCCTTCCGCATCTGTGTTTTTACTTTCCTAGATTCTCTTTTTAAAAGATTTTCTACAAAATCCATATAACAAACGTTACATAAAACAACACGTTACTTTCACTAAGTTGTTGTTCTCAGTTTCTTTCCATTTATTGCCTTTCGTTGATGAAATTTAGCTGATTCAGTGGTTTACATTCTGTGCAACGTTTAATTTCAGGCAATTTTTCTTCGACATTGCAGATCAAGTGTCATTCAATATAAACGTTACACGAAAAAATTTATTGTCGTCCACTTCAAAAAAAAAAAT